CGGCTCCCGACCCCTCCGGCCGGCATGAGGCTCCTGGCGGCCGCGCTGCTGCTGCTGCTCCTGGCGCTGTGCGCCCTGCGCGCGGACGGTGAGTGCCGGGAGGGTCCCCGAGGGTCCCCCCCGCCCCCCATCCCACCGCCCCCAGCCGTCCCGTCGGAGGTCCTGGGGAGCCCCACACCCCGACCACCACACTGGGACCCCGGGATGCCGAGGACTCTGGGTGGACGGGGGGGGGGCGCACGGTAGCGCAGACGGAGACCTGTGGCACCGCTGAGCCGCCCGCCCGCCGCCGCCGCCCCGCAGGGTCCAAATGCAAATGCTCCCGCAAGGGGCCCAAGATCCGCTACAGCGACGTGAAGAAGCTGGAGATGAAGCCAAAGTCCCCGCACTGCGAGGAGAAGATGGTGATGTGAGTTGTGCGGGGCTCGGCCGGGGGGGGGGGCGCACAGCCTGGGGTCGGGGTGAGGACCCGGGCCGCACTCGCTAGGATGCAGGCGGCTTTGCCCCGGGGCCAGCTCACTGAGCCATCCGTGGCTCTTGGTGTGCCAACTTCACACACACGCACACACACACACACACACACACACACACACACACACACAACGTCCGGTGTGCCTGCTGTCCCTGGAGATCGGAGTCACACCAACAGCATCTCTCCTTCTGGCTTTTCTTTTAGAAAAGGACAGTCAGGGGACTGTCTGTCTGTCTGTCCACTGCTAGGGCCAGCCTCCGGCTTCTGGGGGTTTTGATTGTGAGATGGGAGCTGGCCCATGCCAGCCGCCGGACTCCCCACGGCCCCTCCAGCCTGAGCTGTCCTGGGGGGGGGGGAGCTCTTTGAGGAAGGGGGGATCGATGGTGCCACAAGACAGGAGGCTTGCTTGGTGGTGGGCATGCGGGCGATGTCTTAAAAAAAAGTGGGGCAGAGCAAGAGAACACTGCGTTTCCCGGCTTGTCCGCCTTCCCAATTAACCACTTGCAGCCCCGCAGTCTCTCCCCACCAATACTGCTCTTGGCCAGAGCCCCAGCCCTTGGCAAAGCAGCTCCCAAATATTTGCCATGCACCACCGGCCCCTCTACCCCGCCCCCAGAAACAGGACACACTTTATTCTCAGCCTGGACGAGTGCCTTCCACCCGCTGGCCCCGCTGCTCCCTTCACGGGGTGTCTGAGAAGGAAGGGCATGCTCCCAGGCTGCCCCAGGCCAGACAGTCAGGCTGAAGTGAGGAGAATTCAGAAAGACACCAGGCCTGAAAGGATTCCCATGCTTTTCTCCACGGGCCTTTAAATGAGCACCCCACCCCCTCAGCCTCTCAAAGCTGCCCTTTGCCTCGATCCAGAAATAATAATAATAACAATAACAACAACAATAATAATAACATCCTGATGGCTTAAGAAGAGCCGTAGCCCTCAACAGTTCCAGCTGGGGAGGGGTGGTCACAATGTCAAGGGGTGTGCACGTTGTGTCTCAGCATGGGGTACAGTGCTTCCCCCCAAAAGAATGGAATCTTCACTTAGCAGGCTTGCTCTTTTCTTGGCTATAACTGACAAGCATAGGAGAAAGTGTCGCGTTAGCCTTCTGAGAACATGCTGGAACTTCATAAAATAAGCAGGCACCTCGTCCTATCCCCTCAACTTCCTCTCCCACCTCCAAAGCCCCCCACAAGCCCTCTGGAAGGGTTGGAGGCTCCTCTCCGCTAAGCCTCTCAACATCAGACGAGGGGGGGCCAATACTTTTTGGCAAAGCCGGTTTCCAGGCACAAAGGCTGAACAAAAGCAAGTTTTCCAGTTCACCCCAAGTCACCCAGAAATCTCTAGCAGGGGAGGAGGGGAGAGGGGGAGGCGGCAGAGAAGTCTGCTTAGCAAGTACAGAGTCCTTGCAATCTGAAGGGTCCAAAAGAGTCATGTAGAAAGGTCATTTGTGTCACGTGCCTACCGAGCTCTCCTTAGGACCTTTGGCACCCCACAAACTGCCAGCGTGAAAGTCACAGGATCCAGAATTTTGAATCGTTGTTGGGGTCATGAATCCTCCTGGCTTCCTGGCCGACTGGTATTAATCAGGTGATTAATACCACGTGTGCTGAGCACCTTGGTAGGAGGAGAGCTGAACTGCTCTTTGACCTTTAGGAGTTGGGGTGCTCAGCCAGCACCCTGACCTGAAAAGACAACCTTTCTCGCGTCCTCACATTCAGAGTGCAAAGATGGCATCATCGTAAGCGTGGAATGGGGGATGTGCTGATTTCCTGCAGGGCGACTAGCTACCAGGTTGGGGTTGGGGGTTTGGAAGCTAGATTTTACTTTTAGCCCCGTGCTAAAAGCCTGAGAGGAGCTGGTCTCATGGAGGCGGCAGGGCCCAGTCACCTGCCTTAAAAGAAGGCTCTTCCCTGGGAACTCCGCACAGAGCAGGGAGGAGAACAGGTTACCCAGAAACATTCGGCCCCCCATTGGGGTGGCAAGATCTTGTTTGCTCTCCCGATTGATGGGGATGCTGTGTTTACCTCAACCCTGCCCCTCCAGAACTTGGCCCTCGAGCCCTACCTTTGGTAGCCCATCTGACTCCCAACAACCTCTCTCTGAGCCCCCCTTGGGAAGTGTCGGCCTCACGTCTCTCCTTGTCCTTCCTTCATTCTGGAACACCATCCTTCCTTTCCTACCAGAAGCTTCCTCCTGATCTGGCCATCCTCCCCTGCCAAGGAGAGAATGCAAGTGCAGGGCAGACAGCAGGCTTGTGTGTCCCCCCTTCCTCCCCACCCCCCCCGTTCCAGGCCAGAGCTCCCACACATACAAAGCAGTCTTTTTTTTTGTTTGTTTGATTGCCTTCTTTTCCACGAATAATTACCAATAATAGTACTCATTGGGCACTTGACGTATATTATTGTCTTTCACTGTCATGATAACTTGGAGTACATCCTATTACTGTGTCCTTCTTACAGATGGAGGTAATGTCGATTAAGGGGGAGTTCAAATCCATAGCTTGCGCTTGTACAAGCCCACCTACTTCCCTAGCACAGCCAGGCTTTCCTGGTATGCCAGAGCACTGGCTGACGGAGGCCTGGGATCTTTGTGCTATGAAGAAGCCAGGTCTTCCCTTTCTGCCCAAAGAGGATACTGAGACCTCATCATCAAAATGGGCTCAAGACCAACAAGGTTTTGCTTCAGGGTCAACAAATGGCCATCCTTGACATACAACCTGTGGTGGGCTTGAGGGTCAGAGACCACAGCGTCTGCAGGATGTGTCCTAACTCCACGACTGGCACTTTGACCTGCTGGCATTGGTTCTCTTCACCTCTGGATCCTGGGTACAGTCCCCCAAGAGAGACCTGAGCCCCTGCTGGAGGTATAAGGTGGGAGACGCTATCCCCAACAATGAGACCTCCAAGCAAAGCACCACTTGGGGTCAGAGATTCAGGGGACACCCGACCTTCCAAAATCCATCCAGGAAGGAAAAGCTGCTTCAAAGGAGCAAGGAGGCCAAGTGTCTCCATGCCCTAATCTGACAGACCAGACCCCGCAACAGCCCCCTCAACCCTGCATCCCCTCCCACTCCATTTCAGCATTACCACCAAGAGCATGTCCAGATACCGGGGCCAGGAGCACTGCCTGCACCCCAAGCTGCAGAGCACCAAGCGCTTCATCAAGTGGTACAATGCCTGGAACGAGAAGCGCAGGTAGGCCCTCCTCCTCTTCTTGCCCTCCTTCCTGCCTTCCGCCACTCCGCTGTGGCTCTCACCCGCCCCCCTCGCCGCCAGCCCTGTGCCACGCCATCTAGCCCCGCCACAACACTACAACAATCAGATGATGAGACATGGGGTCTCTACCGCCAAGGAAAACCAACTCGCCACTTCACAAAGGAGGCTCTGGCCCCTATACACGTTGCAGGTTTAGTTCTGTGAACCAAAGTCGGCTGTACTCTAACTTTCACACGATATCGTCTTCATTACTCCTTTTATGTAGCTGACATAAGCTGTCAGGAGCACCTGACATGGTATCCCCCTGTGCTAGTCTCTCCAGACCCTGCCCCACAGGGTCCAGACGGCTGATAAATTCCTTCCCATGTGGGTATGAGGCCTTGGGTTTACCCCTTTCTCCCAGGGATCAGCAGTCAGTCATGAGATGACCCGTTCCCTGAGCCCGTTCCCCACCTTCACGAGTAGACTTCCAAGTTCTGGTCCCTGACGTTCGAGATGGGGTCTTGGAAGGGGAGGCTGCTTTCCAGCTCCCTTGTCCCACATGAAGGCCGTCTGTCCTGGAATGGGCCGCCCCCTCACGCATGTGAAGCCTGCTTATATCTTTGCCTGGATAGCACGGCCGAGGAAGCACACGCACATCCTCAGATGTGAAGCCCGTGCCAGCATCTTGTTCTGCAGAGGGGGAGTCAAGGGTAGGTAGGGAGAGGACATGACTACCTAGATAGCACATGGAAAAGCCGGAGCAGGAAGAGAGGCCCCCTCAGAGAATGTGCAACCTAGTCTAAAACACACATAGATGCATATACTAATATATCTAACAATCCTAATATACATTAGAATGCATATACATTCCAACATATTAGAATATATATACACACACACATACACACACCTATTCTAACATGTGCATCCATGCTGCCTGTCCCATCCCTTGACCCTGTGCCACCCCCCCCCCTCCTGCTCCTGGCTCGGCTCTGTGGCCATCTCTCCCACAGACACTCGGGCTGGGTCCTGTACCTGAAAGCCTTTTCTTGCTGCCTGCAAAACTGCCTCATCTGCAGTGACTTGACATAGAAAGTGATGAGAGTAAGAGACTATTTCTCTATCTGACGGGAACGATGCCCTCTTTCAGGTTGGGTCAGACAAGCGCACATGACAGAAGCAAGCCCTGTCCCGTCCACTTTCTCTCTCGCTCACACAGCTAGGGCCTGCTTGTGTCATCAAAGGTAGAGTGAGGCTAAGCCTAGGGCCAGTTCATGTAGGGTTTGAGAAGACCTTGCTCGGGCTCCTGGAAGATAAAACTTGTGCCGACCTGGTCTCTCCCCATCCTCTTCGGCTTCAGCTTTAAAGAAGAGGTACCTGGGAGCCTAAGGTAGCCCTGCTTTTTTTTTTCTGTCAATTGCAATGATGAAAGCAAGAACAGCCCCTCGGTTACCACTTTGCCTGAGTTCACGGTATTGAGTTCCTCTCTCTTTCTTGGAATGCTGAGCTGTCTTGGGAAAGGAAATGTTGAAAAGTGTCTTAGTGAGTGTAGAATGGCAATAAAGGAGCTGTGTAAAGTCCTTTTTGCAGAGAGAGAGAGACAGACAGACAGACAGACAGACGGACAGACTGTACTGAACCCAGGATGGAGAAAGAAGAAAGGGTACATGGCAGGATCAGGCCTGTAGGGACTGACAAGGAACTCAGCCCCTCAAGAGACCAGAGCTTCTGGCTACCACAGGAAGCAGCCACGGCAGGTTGTCAGGCTGGGCGTGCAGTGGGGTCCTAAGGCAGCCAATCAGAAAGGCTTAGAGGAACTCAATGGAGTCAGTGTAGAAGGTGAGGGGCAAGGCAGGGCAGCTCATGAATGTCTGATCACTGGGAGAGGCAGGGCAACAGAGCCAAAAGGAAACGACCGTGGGGCACAGATCCCAGACCTGGTCACCCCCTTCCAGGCGTTAGGCAGTGGCTCCCAGAAATGGTGTTTTCCTGGGTGACAAGTGTTAAGTCAAGGGAGGGGAGCCCCCATTTTCTCTGAGAGAAGAAAGAGGCTGAGCTCAGGGGAGAAATGGAACTCAGAGACACAGGAGTTTCCCATCCAGCCAAAGAGGGTCTCGCTCCTCCAACAGTCCAGACTCATCAGGTATATATATATCATGTCTCTCGGGTCTCTTGTTTCCACATCAAAAGGTTTTCTCCATGGGGGACGGGGGGTATGGAATGGGCCACAGCAGCCAAAGCTGATTAGAAAGGAAAAGGCCAGGTTGGTGTGAGTTTTTGTGTCTGGGACAATCGGGTCGTCTGAGATGTCCCTTTCACTCCTGGGAGAAGAGCAGCTGAGAGATGCTCTGAACCAGGTCCTGAGCCACTTACACCTGCTTCCCCCCTCCCCCCTTTCTCTCTTCCCAGGGTCTATGAAGAATAAGGTGGAAAAAAACAAATCTGATAGGAAAAAAACTCCAGACCAGTTGGGAGACTTCAGCAAAGGACTTTGCAGATTTAAAAAATCACAACCCTTTCTTTCTCACAGGCATAAGACACAAATTATATATTGTTACCAAGCACTTTTTACCAAGGGTCGGTTTTTACCTTTTATAGCTGGAGGCGAAAGGCTTCCAGATGTGAGACCCAGCTCTCCTGCAGACTTTTGTGTGTGTCTGATAGGCGGCTTTTTGCTGAAAAGGGAGAAACTCACGCCTTTCCTTTTTTTTTTTTTTTGTATTGTTCATATGTCACACCACATCTGAGCTTTATACGCGTCTGGGAGGAACAATGGTCTTGGTGGGACATTTCCTTACAGCCCTGCTCCGTTCTTAACTTGGGCCTGGCGTCTCTGCACAGCGCCACAGACTTTCCCGGGCTTCTGGCTGCTCCCAGCCTCCGTGTGACTGCCAGTGGGAACAGGTCTTTCCACATCTGCGCTTAGAGGAACTAGTCTGGTTGCCTGACAAATATGCTTCGTCCCCTCTTCCCCCTCCAGTCCATTTTCCCTCTACTCTAGGACACATTTCCAAGATTAGTTGAATGGCCAGGCAAGAGCTTCTTAAAGAAGAACCGGAGCGTTTCTTAAAAGGGTTCACTGCTGCTTTCCGCTCACTGTCCCCACTTCCCATCAGCAGCAAAGCTCCCAACCCCCAGCAGAAGCCTTAGGGGGGAAACTTCACATCACACACATACGTGCTCGACACACGGCGAGGACCTGCACGGGACGGGACCCACAAGGGGAAAGCCCTCAGCACATGCTTCTCTCCCTCACCACAGCGGACCATGCAATACGTCTGTGACTCCCTGTGGTCCTCTTTGGGGCGCTAAGTGTTCCCTCCTGTGTATAGAACCTCTTCCAGCCACCTGTCACGCTTCCCTCCCATAGAGGCCGTATTGTACTGCTGTGTTATATGCTCTGTAAATGTCGGAAACCGTTAGCGTTGCATGCAGGTTTCGTATTCTTTCTAAGACAAAAAAAAAAAGTAATAAAATATATTTGAAATGTACCAAAAAGTCTTTCCCCCCCCCCCGTGTGGTAAACATGGAGGACAATAAACCGTTTGCCACAGTCTGGATAAACAGGACAGATTGGGAAAGGAAGTGGGTGTTTCTCAAACACCCGTCAAGCCTTCGCCTGTGTAGAATGCGGACAGTGGCCTGGCCGGCGATGGTTCCCACACGCGCTACAGGTGGGTCAGAGGGGCAGGTGAGGGATACAGACTGAGGGGCGGGGCTGTGTCACAAGATGTTCTAGCGTCCAGGGCCCCAAGACTCCATGGAAATGCCCACCTGAGAGGCCGGGGCCTGGGAGCTAGGGGACCGGAAGTGGAGGGTGTTTGACAGTAGGTGCCACCCAATGGTGCTTCTGGAACTGAGGAGGCAGCAAAGGTACCGCACTGAGAAGAGCCCCTGAGCCTAGGAGTCCCTGGTAGATGGGAGGCGTGGTAATAGTCCAAAGTCCAGCCGGTGGTTACAAATGTATGCCAGTAACTGACATATGGTAGACTGGAAGGAGAACTCAGGGTAAATCCTTAGGAAGGCAAAGACAAAGCCCAACGAAATGAGCAGCAGGAAACCAGTACTTGCAAAAGGGGAGTAGGACCAAGGAGAATGGTAGACGATTGAAGAGGCAGTCAAGAATTCAAGGTACATGCTATAAAATTAAGAAAAGTAAGGGAAGCCAGGTGCCGGTGGCTCACACATGTCATCCTAGCTACTCAGGAGGCTGAGATCTGAGGATCGTGGTTCCAAGCCAGCCAGGGGCAGGAAAGACCCTGAGACTCCAATTAACTCCAGAAAATCCCAAGAAGAGCTGTGGCTCAAAGTGGCAGAGTGAAAAAGTTCAGGGACATTGTTCAGGCCCTGAGTTCAAGCCCCATGACCAACAACAACAACAAAAGAAAAGTAAGGGAAGGGGTGGGAAGAGGAGGTGAGAATGTTGAAAGTGGTGACGCTGATCAAGATGCATTATAGTCCTAAACTGCTTTGTTAAAAGGCAACTTCTTTGTACAGCTACTTAAAGATATTTTTAAAAAGTAGCCCAAAGTTCAGGGCACTTAGCACACGCTACCCCCAGCCCCGTATCTCACTGTGTCCTGAGCCAGTCAAATAACCCTGCAGAGCCAGGAGCCACTGGCTCACACCTGTCATCCTAGCTACTCAGGAGGCTGAGATCTGAGGATCGCGGTTCAAAGCCAGCCCGGGCAGGAAAGTCCCTGAGACTCTTATCTCCAATGAACCACCAGAAAACCAGAAGTGGTGCTGTGGCTCAAGTGGTAGAGCGTTAGCCTTGAGCTGAAGAGCTGAAGGACAGCGCCCAGGCTGTCAGACCCCAATAAGCCATAGCAGAAGCCAGAGGGCTTTTCTTGTTTTTGTCAGTCATGGGGCTTGAACTCCTGGCCTGGGCGCTGTCCCTCAGCTCTACAGCTCAAGGTGAGCGCTCTACCACTTGAGCCACAGCGCCACTTCCGGTTTTCTGGTGGGTCATTGGAGATAAGGGTCTCATGGACTTTCCTGCCCGGGCTGGCTTTGAACCGTGATCCTCAGATCTCAGCCTCCTGAGCAGCTAGGATGACAGGCGTGAACCACCGGCACCCAGCTGCCAGGTCCCTCTCAACAGAAGCCCTTGCTTAGGCCCAGAGAAGCACCAACATGCCTCACGGCGGTTGGCACAGCCTTCCTAGCGCAGAGTCCCCTTCCTTTACCGGGGTGTAGGCCTCTGCATTTTTCTGAGCTCTAGCTGCATGACATCACCCTTCCACCTGCTCTACACACAACACACACACGTCTCCCCCATGCTCCGCGCCCCTGTCCAGCCCGGGGTTGTCATGTCTGCCCTGCTGGCCCAGGATGTCCCTCCCTTCTCTGCCTCTCCTTGTGGGGAAAGGAGAGGGTGGCACTTCATCCTCAGCCACCTGCTGAGCTGAAGGACAGGAAGCCTGAAACTGAAGTCCAATCCAGCACAAAGCAGGTCCTTTTCAGATAGACGGTGTCCCTGGGACATGAGCCCTGGGCTTTGCTTCCCGGGGATGCTGGGATTCTTTCCTCCAGCTGCCAGACCGCTAACGGTAGGCTCTGAGTGGCAGACCTTCACCAAATGTGACATGAGGACCCCCCCAACCTAGTACCCATAACCACACCAGGCTCCGGGGGAAAACGCCCTTTTCTGGAGTTGCAGAGCTATGTCTGTGGTTTTTCTCCTGCAGGCTTCCCAGGATCCCTGAGAGGCATCCGCCCAGCACATTCCACAGACAAGAGTAATTCTAGCACAGCCAAGCAAGGCCTGGCAGCCTTTCCAACAGGGTCTTGCCGCCATGGTTCTCCAGGGTCCTCTGGCACGGGGCGTGTGTGTCTCTGCACATGTGCGGCCTTACCCTGGGGGGTGTCACTTTTTCCTGGCAGGTAAGATCCAGTGGGGTCCATACACCGTGGCACCTAACTTCCCAAAACACCCTGAGCAGGAACCTGGCGCTTCAACCGCTGGGCCTGACACCAGTCCAGCCATGTCTGAGCTTCAGCCCAGCCAAGGGCTCCATCTCCACCCAGACCTTACCTCCCTTAGTTCTCACTCCAGCAAGAGCTTTTCCTGGTCATGCACCTCAGGTCATGACTGGCTACATATCTGGAGCAAAAGGAAAGATGGCAAAGGCCCTATTCAAACACTGCAAGTCTACAGTTAATATTAATTACTATAGGGGCTGGAGGTATGGCTTGAGTCATAGAGCACCAGCCAATGAGCAGAAAGCAAGCCTCCAGGCTGGGAAGGTGGCTCAGTGGTAGAGTGCTAGCCTCGCACGCATGAAGCCCTGGGTTCGATTCCTCAGTACCACAAGTGTTAGAACACTAGCCTTGAGCTGAAGAAATCAGGGACAGCGCCCAGGCTCAGAGTTCAAGTCCTACAACTGACAGAAATAAAAAAAGCAAGCCTCCAATACCAAGTTCAAGTCCTGATCTCCAAGAAATATGTGTATACATGTGTATATATACCCATATAACACATATATATATGTAGATGTGTGTGTATATATATATATGTATATATATATAAAACTTACTGTAGATTTCAAACAGCCAGAAGGAAAGATTCTGAATGTTTCTAACATGAAGGAATGGTTAGTATTTGTTGTGATGAATACATTAACCACCCTGGCCTGATCATTCCACATTGTATACATGGATTGAAATACTACACTACATCACATGAATATGTACAATTACTGGGTGTCAATTTAAAAAGCAAGTGAAGAGAAAGAAAGAACAGGAATTCCAAGCTAGCAACAACAGGGCATTAAACCAAGCATGGACCCTGTCCCCGCCAATAGGTGCAGCTGGGACAGTTCAAGCCCACAAAGCCAGCCTGTCTCCAGCATCAAATCAAGTACCTGTCTGCATGAGTCATTCAACCTTGAATTGCTACTTAACTTGTACTACAATTTAACAGTTTCATTTGCATTTGACTGTTTAACATGGTGTGTTCTTAAAAGGCAACTACTGTGTCTGAAGCTGCTTTGTAAAAACCTCCCACAACTTAGATGGCACATAACCTAATCATACTGGGTTTTTCCCTGTGATAGTGGTTAACTTACAGCTAGTTACAATAATTGACCAACAACTACTTACCATAGACTTACTGACCACAGCATACCATTTGTTTCTTTCCTTATTAAATCTAAAACTAGTCCTGGTGAGTAGCTCAAATAGAATACATGCCTAACATGTATGAAGCCATGGACTTGATCCCCAGAAATCCTCAAATATGTATATATATATACATATAATGTATATATAATATATTATATATATACATATACATATATATATAACTCAACTTTCCACTTACAGGAAGCACCTTCCGACTTCTTTTCGGCATGCAAAATTGCTGGCATCACACCTCTTACACATTACTAAATAGAATATCAGTAAGAATAAATATTGTCATTATGAAATAAAGGCAAGGGTTCCCTGTGCGTAAGGCAGGAGATCTGATCACCAAGATAGCTACTGCTAATGAAGCGGTAGCATAGATGCATGGATACGCTGGACAGAGGGAAGATACAGCATGGGTACTCTATACGCTGGACAGAGGACCAGGCGGGCGGATCAAGATTTCATCTTGCTACTCGAGATGGCCTGCGATTTAAAACTGGAATTTTTCCAGCTGGTATTTTCAGACTTGAGGCTAACCATAGTTAACCGTGAGTATCTGAAACCACAGAAAGTAAAACCATGGATAAAGGAAGACTACTGTACTCAGACCCAACTGGTTAATTCCTATGAAGGCTTGAAGATACTCCCTGACAACCTGCTTGCTCTCTGCACTCATTCATGGAGCACTTGGGGAGCAGGGGCGTGGCCAGGCCTGGTCCCTGTCCTCGGTCAGATTCATTCACTCCCAGCCACTTTTTCCTAGATGCTGGCGAGATCCCTCTGGAAACTCACAATGGAGGCAAAGCAACTGTAGGTCTAAGTTCCATGCCAGAGGGACAGCTCAGGGGGCATCCCCAAAATGACAGCTCTTCCAAGCTCTGAGGATGGCCCTGACCAAGACGCCTAACAGTCCTGGAAAGGCTCGTGGCAAACTGCAAGTTGTTAACAAGCAACCCAAAGTTGCCACTTTTGTCCCTGCTCCGACGACGTGGCTGTGAGATGGAAGAAGACGGGCCAGCCAAAGCGGGGAGCCCTGCAGTCAGGAAAGCTGAATGCAAGGTGGAGGCTGGGAGGCTCAGAGGAAGATCAGGAACACCAGTCATCCCCGAGATAAACATCCAGAAATCCTGGACCAGCCCAGCCTCCAGCAGTCACAACTAGCTGTTCCACGAAGAAGTGACCCCCTCCACCCCAGGCCTTTCCTGTTCACCCTCTCACATGAGGAGAACTTGGGCTGCTTTTTTGAATCCTGGGGGGGGAGGGGCACCTCTCTCTTCACCTCTCTGAAAAACTGAGTGGAGATTTTTGGAGGTCCCCAAGTAGTTTCCTCCAGGGA